GGAAGTTTTACTTACCACGACAAAGAACTATATATATATATATATATAAAATACACACACACAGTATAAATTTTAAACAAACAATTTAATACTGGTACACAGTGATGATGATTGTGAAGCTTGGTTGAGCTGGAGGAGTCAAAGGGTGGGATATTTCCCTTACTGCTAAATGATGAACTAGCAATTGGCTGAGCCCTCAAGGGTTAACTCTCTCACTCTACAAGGCAGCAGGAATGGAGGGAGAGATGCGCATTTCTCCTTTAAGTACACTGCCTTGTTAATTAGATCAGCTTGCTGACACTGCAGCTGCTGTAAGCTCCCTCCGTCCTGAGCCCTGGTGTGTCCCCCCTGCTCTATGGAAGATGGGGTAAGCGGGGTGCAGTAGCAGGGGGGAGGGGGACACCCTGACATTAGCCCCCTCTTCCTTCCCTCCCCCTGCACAGCAAGCAGGAGTCTTGGGGAGCAGCTCCAAGGCAGAGGGCAGGAGCAGCACATGGCAGTGGGGGGAGGGACAGCTGCAATTGCTAGCCTGCTGGGCAGCTGCTGCACAGGGAACTTAGGGGAGCAGGGAGCTGATAGGGGGGCTGCCGGTCCACCTTGGTTCCCAGCCCCCACCAGCTAGCTGCAATGGGCTGCTCTTCCTGCAAGCAGTAGACAAAGCAGGCAGCTGCCAAACGACGTTAGAAGGGAGCATTACACAACTTTAAACGAGCATGTTCCCTAATTGATCAGCAACATAACAATGAAACAATGTTAACCGGGACGACATTAAGTGAGGAGTTACTGTACACTGTGATTCCTTTGCAGGTTTGTGGAGAGAAACAGCGCTTTGAGAAGCTGATGGAACACTTCCGAAATGAAGACAACAATATAGACTTTATGGTAAGTCTTAAACTTGTCATTAGTAAACTTAAACTTTCCTTTTTGCTATGTCCCTTCCTGTTCCCCGATACTCCTTTGAGATTTACATACATTTTTTCTGTTAATTATGTATTGAATATCTTCAAACGTACATAGCTTCCATTCTTTACTTTGCTCAAATTTTGCTATTGATACTCTCAGGATGTGTTATTATTAGCTACTGTACTTACGGGCTATATGTGTGGACCACTCAATAGAGCATCAGTCTGGGACTTGGAAACCGGTATTCTAGACCCAGCTACACCAGTGATGTGCTGTGAGGCTCCCTACGCCTGTGTCTCCCCTTCTGTCCTTTATCTGTCTTGTCTGTTCAGATTGTAAACTCTTACGGGAGGGACAGTCACTTACCATGTGTATAGTGTTTATCATGGTGCGGCCCTGATCACAGATGGGGCCTTTAGATGCCATATATTTAACAATAAAGCTGGCAATCAGTAAGAAGGGCCATCTACATGTCAGAAATGAAGTTTGCTACAGTGTGCTCCCTTTTATCCAGTTTAATGTCTACCTTTGGGCCCATAGTCAGTTGCCAATATGGCCCTTGGTAACAGAAAATGTGAGCACTTTTGATGTAGTGGAAAGGCTTTTGTAAAACTGTCTGATACTATAATATCACAGTATGTGATCATTGGCAGGCACAATTGGAGGACTTGTTTGTAGTACTGTGCACTCTAACTGGGTGGGAGAATAGTAAATATCTGAAATATCAAGATGTGCATAGTGTACAGATGCCAACATCCTCAAACACCCTTCACATCACATCATATGACAGGGAAGTATGACCAAGACTCATTGCAGCTGTTGTCCTTCCTTATCTGTAGATAAATATAACACTAGTTTTTACCGCTATTGGTTCCTCAATTTGCTTGTGCATTTTCACAGACTCCACTTCCCCTGAAACAGGGAAGGAAATAGAAACATAGCAGAAGAGTACATTGGCACCCATACACACCAAACTCCAGATCTTGCATTGCAAATTCTGATTAATCATGACATGATGAATGAGTTTAAATGGTGAACATAAGGAATTTGTTATGAATTGAGCCTTAACGTAGGTCTGAAAAATGTACCGTAAGTCAATTTTAGTATTTCCTAAAGGTGTCAGCTTGAAAGCCCTGGAATCAAAGCCCTCTATTTATTCACAGAACAGACACAACCCAGGCATCACCATTGCAAGTTTCAGAATGCTGCCCATGCCGATGTGCCTCAAATTTGACCACCTCTTGGTGTGAGAGGATGGTTCCGTCTCTGTGCCCATTCAAGCCTTGGCCTTTCTGCTAAGACTTCCAACAAGGAGGGCACTTACTGCCAGTTGTGTTGATGGGTTTTGTAATGTGAACTTCTGTCCATTAGGAATTAGATTAAGACCACCATGACGTTTCACGTAGGTTTTCAACTGCAGTCCCATGGCAATGATTTTCAGCCCCTGCAAACTTGGGCCGAACTCAAACCCATGATGGAGAAGTAAAAACAAAATGTCTAATTACCAATCCAATAAACCATCTGCTTCTTTTGATATTTGAGCTCTTAAAAAACAACAGAACATGACACCCAATAAAGAATGTTTAAACTGCGGTCTTTGGGCTTGTCCAGTAAACAAAATTCTGTGGCTACTTTCTCATGTTGAAACAAAAGCTTTACAAAATCTAAAATAACTATACTAAGCTTATTGAACTCCATCCAATCTTGTTCTTGCTCTTTGTTAGTAGTATTGCAGCGGCACCTGGAGCTCCAGGGTGGGACCAGAGCTCCATTGTGGTAGGCACCATATAGATTAAGTATTCTCAAACTTTGTCGCATTTTTGGCTACAACTCAATAGAAAGATTTGTCTTACGGAGATTCACAAAGGCAATATCCCTACCTGTTCGTGATCATATAATATCCCTGTAACGACTCCAGCAATTGCTTACATGGAAAAGTAATATGTGGGTAGTATTCAGTGTATTTTTAGCCTCTTTTACTGCAATTTAGCAGCTGGAAACAAGAAGACAGAACCATGTGGTCAGCCAGCTCTCCACAGGCCACCAGGAAGTATCCAACTATATTGAAAAACTAACCTTTACTTACATATATCCAGGCTTGGCAGAATTCAGTTTTTATTTTTTCATAATTTCAACAGGTAATATCAATGTTTATTTTTAAGCATTTTTTAAGGATTTTTATAACTTGAAATTTTTACAGTTGTGCAAATTTATGGGCTTTAAGGATTTTTTCAGTTTTTATTGATTTAAAATTTCACAGTTGCAGGAAGATATGGGATGGTGAGACAATGGAGGGGTCAGATGATAATTATTTAATGACAGTAGATTTTGAGATTCAAAAAGTTAAAGCTTTATAACTATTAAAACACAAATTGTCAATGTCACATGTCAAAATATACAAAGTAAATACCCTTAAATCAAATGCTAATAATTTCTGAAGCAGCATTTTTCTTACTTTGCCTATCTGTAAATTTCAATTATTATCAATGGAATTTGTTTTATTTGTTTGTGAGTGCATAGTGAAATTGTTTGTGAGCGTATGGTGGGATTTACCAATAATAATCAAATCCTTCCAAGCCTACACTTATTAAATAGCCTGCTCTAAGGGTAGAGTGTGTCTTTTCTATGTTATGTTAGATGCTGTATATAGTTATGGCCCTATGTAACTGACTATGCATTATGGACCAAATCATGAAGTTCTTATTTAGGTCCTGTTGATGCCTACCAATCCTTCCTTGCACCATCCCACTGTGCTCTCTGAAAGTGGGGCCAGTTGTCTCTGGGTACTGACAGGGCATGTTATGTGAATGCTGATCCATGCCCCCCTGAGTAAAGGGCCTTATTGAGTCATTGAATTTTTAGAGCTCATCATTGAAGTCAATGTTGAAATCTGATTGAAATGGAACAACATGTCTCTGAGTAAGGATTGTCAAGAGCTGGCCCATTACTAATAAAATCTGTGTCCTTGGGTTGCTTCCATCTACTTTTTCTAAGTGATTAAATACTTGACAGGCCTGCAGCAGAAAGACAGAAAATTAATGACAAATGGTTTGACAGATTGGATCCTTTTGTCACCATCTGGTTCTAACTATATCCACTTGCTGTTAAAAACAACCTATGACAAATATGCTTCAGGGTTATGGGGGAAAGCTAGACCATAAAGAGAGAGCCAATGTGGAGAGTTCTTCCATGTTGGATTGATGAACCACCTATATTGTGTGAGCATTTGGGTTTGTAACATCTGCCAAAGTCAGTTATGGCAGGATGATAAAAAATTATGCCAAAAAATCAGGACTCCGGGAGGCATTGTTAAAACTTGAGTAATAATTCAAGTTATAGCTGAACATAAAGATATTTCTGCAGCTACTTGACTTCAGCTTGATGTCAACTGGAGAAGATAACAAAAAGGATTTTCTGTTAACTATATCCTGACATGGGGATGGAGGTAAATAAGAGGGTATTAATGTGAAAAGAGGAAAGAGTAACTAAAAAGAAGTGTTTTAGAGAGGGTTGTTACTGTTGTCAGTAACTCATTACTGTTTAATTTTAAAAATAATTCTTACATTCAGTTACTTTGATCTAGTAAACTCTTTACTCATGTGTATAAATGTTTGCAGGATTAGGGCCTGAGAAAGGACCTCAGGATTTGCCCCTATTGTTGCAAGAATTTATTAAGCAAAATAAGAGAGTGTAACGGATCATTTTAAAATGAGAGGATTTGGCCCTCTGTTAAATTACCCTCCAGTGTGCCATTGCTCAGCAGTTTAGGGCCAGTACTGATACTAGGAAAAAAGAGTATTTGATTATGGAAACTTGAGAAGAATATATTGTACTATAAAGATTCACATAATGAAGTTAGTTTTCTAGCCATGTTAAGGGAGTGCTTTCCAATTAGAAATGGGTCCAAGCTGAAATATTTGGATTTGGATGTCCACTGTCCCCCTCTCCTGTACACACACGCCTCCCCTCCACACCGCCCTCTGCACACACCTCCCAAATGCAAAGGATCTTTGAATCAGGGGGAGAAGGAGGTTGTCATTCAGGCATATCCCTACACTTAACCACAACTGTATTTGCATTGTTGGGGACCTAAACAATATTTTCTGGAAACAGAATATTTAAATAAAACACGCAGTATGGATATTACACACACACACACACACACACACAAAATCATTTGACACAAGCTATGTTTAACTCTTGGTTAATCAGTTTGCTATGTGCCCAAGATGTTGTATTAGCAACTCTTTGACCACCTGGAGGCGGTCTCTAACAAAAACAGCCAGGAGGCAGAATTAGCTGTCATTCTTTTTATTGTGTTCTGGTAGGTGGCAATTCAAAGCGTAGTCCTCCTGTTTGTTTACTTCTTCCTGCAAAATGTTGATTGACCCCAAAGGGGTAGATTGTTCTTGAACTCTTGGCTGTATGTAAATCATGCTGCATGGGATTAATCTTCTTTCAGGTTAGTCCTAAACAGATTAACTGACTGTTTTTAAACACACATACAGTATTGTTTTATTTACACTATAATACCTGTGTAACTGAAAAAAATAGACAGTGTAGCCTATTAACTGAAAAATCTATCAAACATATATATCAGTACTCGATTTTACTGCTTAAAGGTAACAACTATACAAAGACATTTATCAAAATAACTGAGACGAATCTGGCAAATTCTGTGGTCAGATAAGCACGTGCAACTTCCACTGAATTAAATAGGAGCTGGGAACATGTACCTCAGGGCAGAATTTGGCCCAACAACTATCGCTATGGAAAGCTAGATCTATATAAAACGAACAGGCAAGCTCAGTTGGGTGATATAACCTGACACCCTGCATTTTGCAGCTATCCTTCCGCCATCAGCCTCAGCACCACCCTGTCTCGTCTGTTATGGAGTGGTTGTAGTGATGGCTCCAGATGACCTTGCTTGGGAGAGTTTGTTTCTTTCATTGTGTCTGTGTTAATTTATATGCTAAGTAGTATGAATCTTATCATTAGTTACTAAATCTTGGATTTTGAAATCTCCAAGAACAACAACAAGGCACCTTCCATTTAAAATGCCCAGTCCTGTTGTCTAATTTAACAGTGCCAGCAAGTTGCAAAACAAAATGCACGTATCATTGTTAAAGGAAAGAATTGTGGCCTTCATTTGAAAAATGACATTGTTTTATTCTCAAGAGCTAATTAAATTACTTCTGTAGTCAGATGGAAATCTAACACCGGATGGACAATCTAACGATTGCCTGGAAAACATTTTATTTCCGTGGACAATGTAAAGGGCACTATAAAACAAAGCTGGGCTCTACAGACATTCCTGAATCCCACATTTCCATTCATCAGGATAAACAAACACCTTTTAAGCCAGGATCCACTACTTTAAACAAAACATCTGACTCTTAGAAGAAAATCAGAGAGTTTCCATATATGGTAAATATGACAACATTAAACAATCATAACATCTGTAGTAATGTTTGTCAAAACAGAGGGCCTGAACCAATCTCCGTTGAAGTCAGTGGGAGTCCTTCCTTTGACTTTGCTGGATTTAGGATCAGGCCCCAAATCTTGTGCTTTTCGTGATGTCACAAAGGCATGCTGCCTTTGCACACACCGTCTGCTGTTCAATTGGCCAGGTTTGTAGCAGATTTTTTTCCTTCTCTATCTGAAGCATGAGCTATTATCCCTGGGTAGGAGGGAGGAGAATCATCTTTAAAGTACTCTTATGCAGTGTGGCAAATCCTAGCATTCTGTACAAAACAAAGGATGCACCTCTATTTCTTGTTAAATTTTCCGTCTGTGATGATTCTTCCCCCACAGGTGGCATGTATGCAGTTCATTGTTACTGTTGTCAGTAACTCATTACTGTTTAAATTTAAAAATAATTCTTACATTCAGTTACTTTGATCTAGTAAACTCTTTACTCATGTGTATAAATGTTTGCAGGATTAGGGCCTGAGAAAGGACCT